CACTTGTTTGTATGCTAGGTCTTCTATGTGTTCGTCAAAGATACTGGCAGTTCTAACATATTTTCGAAACATTGTAGTGACTAGGGCGGAGTTACATAATGGTTACGAGGGTTGTTGTCTTTTTCAAAAATTTTAGTATGATGACATTTTAGGTCTTTTTTCGTTTAAATACTAGTCAAATAAGACTTTTGTCCTCTTAATTTTTAGATTTAAATACTTAATAGATTATTATTCTTTCGATATAAAAAAATTCCCCCTCGATATTTGATTCTAGCTCCATCCTTGATAGAGATCATCCTACTTGAAAAAATAAATTTTACGCAACTCTTATACAAATTCATCTTTTTATTGCCCTCTCGGTTTCCCCAAATTTTACCCTGATTAATTCGGACCAAACTGTGTCACACATTTAATTTTAGTGAGTGAGTCTCTCAGCGAGAACTTTTTACATTTACAAAAATTTAAACTCGAAACCTACTTAAACAATATTAAATTATTTACTCTTATATCAATCCGTTGATACAAAAATTCAATTTTTTTTCATCACGTTACTTGAGTAAATTTGCCGCCCTTTGTCCATCGAAAGAAGACGTGAGTGCCACGGTCCCAAAACACGACCATTTGCAAAACAAAAAGCGATTGCTTTTGTCTGAATTTGGGATTTGAGTGCATTGCCCTCGCTCAATATTATTACCACTTATTAGGGTTTGAATTGTCTTGTAGATGTGCACGTGTGAGTAAGATGCAAACCGATCGTGCTGGAATTCAAAAGGCAAATGCTTTAACCTATCAAATCAACAGCACTCACTTTTTCGAGGCCTTATTTCCATGGCAATCAAAACACGGTTTTCGCCTTTAATCTTTCAACGTTGAAATCATATGTATTGCAACCTCTTTCTCCTTAGTGGAAACATGGGAAATTATTATTCCCTTTTGTTTTTCTTTGGAGCAAAGGAAAGTAATTGGCAGTTTTATTGCGTTCATCACATAATAAATCTTTACGATATTTAATCTGATTTAATATGTAACACCCTAAAAATCGGGTTAAATTGAAGTATTGGTAGATTTAACTAGTCTATTTGGGAACTCTTTAAAAATATGGTGCTTTGGGTTGTAATTAATCCATAAATTTTGGGGTTTGAATACCCACAACCTGCATTCACGTATACCATTTGGTATTTTGAAAAAAATGGACACCTTAGTTGGTTCTCTCTCAACAAAACATTTTAGTTTTTCTTCGATTCGTTGCTAACCGAGAGGAGGTCTTTGACATCTCTGGTATCATTGCGTTCGTCTTGTCGACCTCGTTCGTTCGGTGTCCTTGGATTTCTGTTCACCATCGCCATTTGCAATCGGTGAAGTTTTGAATGTTCGAGATTCGCTACAAACCACGTCTCAGTCGATCTTTTTTCACAAACAGACCATGGTAAGCGATTCCCCGTAGTTGGAATTATTTTTTTGCAAATTTTGGTATTTTTTTCGACCACCATAAAGTCCCCCACACGCTCCCACGCGCCGCCGTGTGCGCGTGGGATTCGTCCGACAGTTTGGATTGGCTAAACCGGTCACCCTTTGGACAGAACCGGCTGGGCCGATCACCGACCTGTTTGACCGACCCATTAACCTGACCCATTTGACCGACTCGTTGACCGTTCCATTTTGATCGATCCGTTGACCATTGACGTTTTTTCGAAACTACCTATCTTTATATTTTTCGACATCTTAAATTCGTTTTCACAGTTCATTTGGCCAAATTCTGACCCCAAAAGCCTTGTTTTGCATAATTTATTGCTTAAAGTCACGATTTAATTAAGTAAATTATAGAATTTTGGACTCACTTTCTGATATTGATTTCCGAAGGTGATCACGCTTCTCAGCATCATTCACCAGTTGACCCTGACCATTCTCGCTCAGCTCAGTTCGATTCTGCCCGTTTGTCTCGAGATACGCCTAAGTATTATTTAGTGACTTTATACTCTTTTACCATTTAAAATTATAGATTTTGTGTTCATAGACCAATATTGTTTTAGGTTCCCATTCCGAAAGACCTAGAACTACTAACGTAGGAAATGTAAGGCTTGGCCGATATGAATTTTTCTCTTATAGGTGTGTTCCCTAGACTTGTTCGATATATTTAACGTGTTATATTACATGTTGCTATGTGTAAACCCCCGTTCTGATATCTGCATGAGATTAATTCCCCGTTTTGACATTTACATGGGATTAATTCCCCGTTCTGACCTCTACATGGGATTAGTTTCCCGTTCTGACATATGCATGGGATTAGTTCCCCGTTCTGACATTTGTATGAGATTATATCTCTGTCCTGATGCTATTTGGGGATCCTCATATGACGGCTAAATTCCCATTTTGATTTTGGTATTCAATTTTCGATGTTTTCTTGTAAGGTAATGTGCATATTTTGTTGATTCGGAACGAAAGGTAAGATTGTAAATTTCTGTTATGACATTCTGTTGGTAAAATATCTAAATTTTAATATTGGTCGATTATTATTTTGTTTATTATTTTATACTTGAAACTTTTATGCGTTGCAAAATTATATGATTAAATTTTAGAGGACACATTGAACCTTGTAGCTCAATTTGTTTCTGTCTTTCCTTTTCAGATTATACAGATATAGGACCAGTTTGGCTATCGGAAGTATGGTCTTGATTATACACTGTTTGCAGTTTAATATTTACTTTTCAACCTTCTTAATATGTGGTATGAGTTTATTTCTGATTTTATATTCGGTAAACATTTTCAGAACGACTTATTAAAAATTTTCTTTCGTTGATTGTATAAGTGATCAACATGGTCACCCTGATTCAGTTGTAACTCTTAGGCTGGGTATAGGAGGTTACATTTAGTGGTATATAATCCCATATTTAAACTCTCGGACTGTGCAACCTGCTATAATTCTGAAAATTTGTTTAAAACAAATATGCAAAAAGATTTGTAGAAAAGTATGAAAAATGATTTTTGAAAATCATGCCATAAGATTTTTAAGTATTTTATGAAATTATCGAGACTCTGATGTCATTCTGAAAGGTTACTACTTATCTGTAATGATAGTTTAATATTATATATATATATATATATATATATAATATATATATAGTTGTGAGCCTGGTTTGGATGTCTGATGTCGTTTAGACACATTAATTGGCTATTTTGGTTGTAAGGTATGAACTCTTCCAATTAAGTTAAATAACGACGCATATTCTTGATTTTCTTTTAACACTCTTCAGTCCTCCTCGGTTAAACTTTATTAACAATTCTGAATTTATTCTCGATTTCCTCCTAAAAATAAGATGTGTTAATATCTGGTTTCCATCATTATGTTCAGTTTTATATGGGAAACTCTGACCGAAATCTCTGGACCTGTAATAAAATCCTTCCTAACAGGTACCTCGTAGAAATTTTATATATGCCATATGACTAAATATTCATCCACGTTCATCTCGATTGTGAGTTTTGATAAAATTTCAGTTTTGTACGACAATATAAGAATATAAATGGATCCCTGTAATAATGCTAACCTGTTCGTGTTCTTATTCTCTCACATTATGGTTTCCTATGTACAAGAATGGGTTTTAAGCAATATTATATTCGAGTTTTTATTCTGCCAAAAAATTTTGTGTAAAGTTTGACATTCCAGAATGAAATATTATTTTGATATGAACCATTTTGAATTCCTTTAAATCCTCTGTAGATTAATTCTGATATCTACTAGTAGCTTCCTCATTTGGTTAATAAATATGATATTTGTATCATTCTAATTCAATCTGACTTGGGGAAAGTGTTTTGACACTATCATTCCTTTTCCTCGGGAATTATTAACTCTGTATGTGATATTCATTGTCCTAAAACATGAGTATAGGTTCTGAAGTATTCTGAATGAGACTGGATATAAGTATTTCTTGTGTATTGTCTATATGATGAAAACCGAAAGGATATAACATATGTATTACTCTGATTCATACTATCTATAGGGGAGGAAGTTAATTTCGGGAATTACTCTGAAAGTATGAAAACTAGAATTCTATTTCTGCCTAGTTTATTTCAACCAGTACAGACTTCAAAATGAATTTGTGAATGAGTAATTGTAGGCTTTCTCAGTATAATGTCTTTGACTCTATCAAAGTAAGATTCAGTCTGTGTTTTATTGATCATCTCGACAAGTCCATTTATTTTATTCTGGTTCGAATCGGTTACATTTCTGGTAACTAATTGTTCATTTTGGCGAGTCTTCCTTGTCTATAGTGACTGACCGAAATATGAGATTTATGTCACGATTCAAAAGACTCTTCCTAAGGCTCTTTGTCTACGATTGAAACTTCGATACCATTTATTATCCTCAAATTGGTGGGTTGTTGAACGGATTACTCAGATACTGGAAGATAAACTAAAATGTCATATTATAGTGTTCCGAGATGATTGGATGGATCATTTACTGTTGATTAAGGTTTACTCGTTGACAGATTATGTGATGAGTTGGACTAATTGCATAACGTGATGAGCAGGACTAATCCGTTGATGCAAAAATTCAATTTTTTTCATCACGATACTTGAGTAAATTTGCCGCCCTTTGTCCATCGAAAGAAGACGTGAGTGCCACGGTCCCAAAACATGACCATTTGCTAAAAAAGCGATTGCTTTTGTCTGAATTTGGGATTTGAGTGCATTGCCCTCGCTCAATATTATTACCATTTATTAGGGTTTGAATTGTCTTGTAGATGTGCACGTGCGAGTAGGATGCAAACCGATCGTGCTGGAATTCTAAAGGCAAATGCTTTAACCTATCAAATCAACAGCACTCACTTTTTCGAGGCCTTATTTCCATGGCAATCAAAACACGGTTTTTGCCTTTAATCTTTCAACGTTGAAATCATATGTATTGCAACCTCTTTCTTTCTTTTTTTTAATGAAACTCATGGGCATCATTAAAAACCCATTTTAAACCTAGTAAGGGGAAAAGAGTGTCCAAATTATATTAATCAAAGATCAATGACATCGTTTTTAACATTCTGAACAATGATGTCGGGACAAACTGACTCAAAAACCAAAAAACCACCCGAATTTAAAGCCCAACTGGCTAATGCATGAGCAACCTGATTACACTCTCTAGGAGTATGCAAAATACAAAAACGAGGATGATCCTGAAAAATAGTACGAGCCTCTTGAACATACACATCGAGGGTGGAAATATCTATAGAAGTTTGTGTAATCTTATGGACGAGCATCAAGGAATCAGTTTCAAACTGAACATCAGACCATCTCATATCACAAGCCATTCTAAGACCAGCGAGTAAAGAAGACAGTTCTGCAAAATCTGCCTCAAAACATCCAACAGAAGACTGGGCCAAACCACCACAAACCTATCCACACTTATCACAAGCAACAACTCCAATTGATGACAGTCGGCGCTCCGCAACAAAGGCACCATCAACATTTACTTTGATAAGTCCCTCGAAAGGTGGAGTCCATCGTATAGCAGTATTTGTATACCGTTGTTTATTCATCCCCACACTAATAGCCCTTAAATAGTCCTGATGTAGTATCTTTGCATTAGTCACCAAGAGCCACGCCACACCGGTTGCAACCTGTTAGAATGAATAAAGGAGTTTCGATTATTCCAGACATTCCACAGAATTATCAAAAAACCAATAAAAGCATCAATTCCTAGAATAGAGAATACTTCATCCATCCATAATAAAGAACTATCTATAGTACTAAAAAATATATAAGGAGGCAGATATGCTAGACGTAAAGCCTCCAAAGTTACAGGACAGTCCCTCATGGCATGTATAATCTTCTACTCTCCATTAGAACACATAGGACAAATTTCATTACCAAAACCAGCACTTTTAAGCCGACTACCCACAGGTAATGCATTCCGGGCAACCCGCCAAGCAAACACACGTATCTTAGGAAGAATTTTCAATTTACCCATAACTGACCACAATTTAGACTTCCTCTCATTATCATGATTTCGTTTCTGTAACCACCAATAACCATATCTAACTGAGTAGATACCCGAATCATGGTTAGCCCAAACAATAACATCTTCAGCACAAGGTGCAATAGGAACTGAAAAAATCTGCATAGCATATTCCTTAGAAAACAACTTATAAATCAAAGATTCATTCCAAACATTAGAACCATCAATCATAATATCAGAACAATAAAGAGGATTAAGATCAGAGTTAGAATAACTCCCCGTGAGATAAACAACTTTTGAACCACCCCAGATATCATAGTGAACCTGTTTATTACTTCGTATACCAAAACGTCAAAAAGACCCCCATGCATAATAACTTCTATCCTTTAGAGTAGCATGCAATATATCACTGTGGGGAAAATATTTAGCACGAAATACTCGAGCCACCAAACTCTCTGGATCCTTAATAAAACACCATAATTGTTTGCCTAATAAAGCCAAATTGATACTCTGCAAGTCCCGAAATCCCATCCCACCTTGTCTTTTGGGTTTGCACATTGTTTTCCAAGCAACCATTGGCCAACCACGCCTATTAGCATCACTTGACCACCAGTAGTGCCTCATATTACTCACCAAATCCTGAACTAAACAATCAGGAAGCCGATAGCAATACATAATATATTGTGGAAGAGCTTGGGCAACAGCTTTAAGAAATACCTCACGACCTCCAAATGAAAGAAGATGTTTCGTCTTCCTATCAATTCTATTCGAAACCTTTTCTTTCAAATAACCAAATGTATTCGTCTTATTCTTTCCAATGTGAAGAGGCATACCAAGGTAGTGTCCCAAATCAGACACTTCGCCAATACCCAAGATACTCAAAATCTGATCACGACATTCTTGTCTCGTACTTGGACTAAAATATAATATCGATTTCTCAAGATTCACTTTTTGACCAGAAGCAACTTCATAAGAATCAAAAGCATCGCAAATAATAGAAGCCTCCTATAAAGAGTTCTTAATGAAGATAAGGCTATCATCAGTAAAAAAATAAATGAGTTACCTTAGGACCATTCTGACTTGCCCCCATTTCACGAATCTTCTTTTGAGCATGCAAACGGTTAAATAGAGCGGATAACCCCTGAGTGCAGAAAAGAAATAAAAATGGAGATAAATGATCGCCTTGTCGTAACCCTCGATTTGGCCTAAACTCTTTAGTGAGACTACCATTGATATGAACAGAGAAAGAGACGGTTTCCACACATCTCATAATAAGATTAACCCAATCAGCACAAAAACCTAGCTTTAACATAACCTTTCTCAGAAAAGACCATTCCACTCTATTGTACGCTTTCTTCATATCCAATTTAATAGCAACACCCTTATTCGGACCATTTTTGAAGAGTTCATATAATGAATAAGCTCATGTGCCACCAATATGTTATCCGATATTTGGCGTCTAGGAAGAAAGACAGCTTGTGTTTCATGAATGCAACTCGCCATATGCCCCTTAAACCATCGAACCAGAACCTTGGAAACAATTTTATAAACTACAGTACAAAGACTGATTGGGCGAAGATGCTTCATTTGTTGAGGATCAGATATTTTTGGAATAAGAACAATCACCGTCTTATTAACCAAACTCATGTCTAACGTACCTTGTAACAATTGTAAGCACAAATAGACCACATCAGCCCCAACAATATCCCAATGCAATCGATAGAAACTCGTCGGAAGCCCATCAATGCCAGGTGCCTTCTGCGGATAAATATCAAGAAAGGCTGCAATGATTTCATCAGTAGTAAAATCCTCACAAAGCGCACCATTCATTTCATCAGTAATGACCGTATCAATAGTATCAATAACAGAATCATCAGAGACAGTACTCGACGACCATTAGCATGAGCATGAAAATAGGAAGTATTCTGATCTCCATTAGCCAACCATTGTACTCGATACCTTTGCATCCAATACACCTCCTCCTTATTAAGCAGAAGATGCAATTCATTTTTATCTCTTTTGAGATTCTGTAATTCTGCCTCCGAAGTATGACGGCTAAAAGAAGAATTAATTTTATTCCGAAGAACTTGAATTCTGCCACGAGAGATAGCCAAACGAACCTTTTGCCAAGAACTAAGTTTTGACCCAACCTCAGTAATTTTATCCAGAATATCAGAATAAGGTAGATCCCAAGCAGCTTTAACTAATATTCTAAAAGCTTCCTCAGAAGCCCAACATTGTTCGAAACAAAAATAATCATCACCTCGATCCCTGGATAAAGGTTGAACCCAAGCAGTATCCATTAATAAATAACAATGATTAGAAGTTTCAGCAAACTCAGTAAATACCTTACCATTTGGAAATGCTTGTCGCCAACTTTGGGAAGCAACAAAACGATCAATATGTTCCTTAATAGCATGATTCGCCGACCCCCCATAATGCCACGTAAACCAATCTCTAGCAGGCTTAACATCAAATAAACCATTATTAGCAAGCACCATATGAAACTCATCCATTTGAACTCTTGATTTCCTTCACCTACATTGTTTTTCAGAATCATGAAGGATTGCATTAAGATCCTCACCCAATAACCATGGAAAATTAGAAGCATTTCATAAAGAATGAATAATGGACCAAGCCTCAATCTTGAGATTAGCATGGTGACTTGCATATAAACCCGAGAAATGAAATTTACTAGTGCCATCATCAATGATAGAATCAATATGAAACCGAGAGTACGATAAAATCGAGACATTAATATTATTATTCCACAAGAGCATTAACCAATACAATCATTGCTTTTGTCTACAACAAAACAATTATCCATACCAAGCTTACAACATATATAGTTACTATTGTTTTACTTTATTCGAGTCTCGCTTAAGAAAACAACATTTGCACTCTTAAGACCGATATATCGGCCAATCACACGAACTGTCGTAACGTTGTTTAGAACACGACAGTTTCAACACAAGACAATCATTGATCACGACGAGGTTGAGCCTCAACCGCCGCCACAGAGTTTTAGAGTTGCTCATCCCAGCATCATTTGTTGAAGTATGTGCAAGTCTTGTTCGCTTAGATAGAATTGGGTTAATACTGTAAACCACGCTTAGACAAACGATTTGTTAAAATATATGGAACATCATTACCAAATTCTAACCATCGTAACATGAGTATTTGAATATTCAGTATCCTCCAAAACTACAGTTTTATTGGACATATCTCCTTCTGAAGGGTTGTCGACCACCACCTCTGTACTTGTATTCCCTTTTGTTTTTTCTTTGGAGCAAAGGAAAGTAATTGGTAGTTTTATTGCGTTCATCCCATAATAAATCTTTACTATATCCAAGCTGATTTAATATGTAACACCCCAAAAATCGGGTTAAATTAAAGTGTTGGTCGGTTTATTAGTCTATTTGGGAACTCTTTAAAAATATGGGGCTTTGGGTTGTAATTAATCCATAAATTTTGGGGTTTGAATACCCAAAACATGCATTCACAACTACCATTTGGTATTTTGAAAAAAATGGGCACCTCAGTCGGTTCTCTCTCTATTTTCTCTCTCAACAAAACGTTTTGGTTTTTCTTCAATTCGTTGCTAACCGAGATGAGGTCTTTGACATTTCCGGTGTCATTGCTTTCGTCTCGTCAACCTCGTTTATTCGATTTCCTTGGATTTCCGTTCACCATTGCTGTTTGTAATCGATGAAGTTTCGAATGTTCGAGATTCGGTAAAAATCCCATCTCCGTCGATCTTTTTCGAAAATTGGCTCCGGTAAGCGATTCCCTATAGTTGGAATTATTTTTCTGCAAATTTTGGTATTTTTTTGGCCACCGTAAAGTCCCTTACGCACTCCCACGCCGCGCTGTACATGTTTGGAATTCGTCCGACGGTTGGGATCGGCTAAACCGATCACCCCTTGGACCAGATCAGTTGAGCCGGTCACTGACCCTTTTGATCGACCCATTAACCCAACCCATTTGACCGACCCATTGACAGTTCCCTTTTGATCGATTCGTTGACCGCTAACCATTGACTTTGACCATTAAGTTTTTTGGAAACCACCTATCTTTATGTTTTTCGATGTCCTAAGTTCGTTTAGCCAAATTTTGACCCCAAAACCATATTTTGCATCATTTATTGCTTAAAATCATGATTTAATTAAGTAAATCGTGGAATTTTGGACTCACTTTCTGATATTAATTTCTGAAGGTGATCACGTTTCTCCGCATCATTCACTAGTTGACCCTGACCGTTCACGCTCAGGTTAGTTCGATTATGCCCATTTGTCTCTAGATATGCGTAAGTATTATTTAGTGACTTTATAGTCTTTTACAACATAGAATTATGGATTCTATGTTCATTGAATAGTAATGTTTTAGGTTCCCATTCTGCATGACCTAATACTACTAATGTGGGAAATGTAAGGCCGATATGATATACATTTTTCTCTTATAGGTGTGTCACCTTGACCTATTCGATATATTTAACGTGTTATGTTATATATTGCTATATGTAAACATGTTTGTGATCTGATTATATATATATTTATATATACGCGACATATCTGACTTTTGAATACTGTGACATCATTATTAATTTGCATGTTGATGCATTTATGATATCTCCATGGGATCCACTATGGAGGGAATAATCCCCGTCTTGATTCTGCATGGGACCTCATTCCCTGTTCTGACATTTGCATGGGATTAATTCCCCGTTCTGACATTTGCATGAGATTAATTCCCCGTTCTAACCTCTGCATGAGATTAGTTCCCCGTTTTAACATCTGTATGGGATTAGTTCCCTGTTCTGACATCTGCATGAGATTATATCTCCGTCCTGACTCTGTTTGGGATCTTCATATGAGGGCTAAATTCCCATTCTGATTTTGGTATTTAGTTTTCGATGTTTTCTTGAAAGGTAATGTGCATATTTTGTTGATTTGGAACGAAACGTAAGATTGTTAATTTATGTTGGGACATTCTGCTGGTAAAATATCTAAATTTTAATATTGGTCGATTATTATTTTGTTTATTATTTCATACTTGAAATTTTTCTGCATTGCGGTATTACCTGATTAAATTTTAGAGGACGCATTGAGCCTTGTAGCTCACTCTGTTTCTATCTTTCTTTTTCAGATTATCCAGATATAAGACCAGTTTGGATCTCGATTATACACTGTATGCGGTTTAATATTTACTTTTCATCCTTCTTAAAATGTTGCATGAGTTTATTTCTGTTTCTATATTCTGTAAACATTTGTAGAACGACTTATTAAAAATTTTCGTTCGTGGATCATATAAGTGATCAACATGGTCACCATTATTCAGTTGTAACTTCTAGGTTGGGTCTAGGGGGTTACATAATTGATCAATTTTAGATTGGGTTATTTCATATTTAGTGATTTATATTAGGTCATATAAAGTTACCGGTTGGTCAGTGAGATGATTTATCAGATCTTTTAAATAAGGTTAAAAGTTTAAAATCTAATGTTGAGAATGAAGTAAATTTAATTAGGAAGATTGTCCTATAATAATTCTCTACAGTACCCGTCCTAATTTAATTGGTTTGATTTCAGTTGAATCGTTCCATGTTTAATGATTCATATTGGGTCATATCAAGTTATGAGTAACTTCAGGTTGCATCAACTTCATGTTTAAGTCATTTTAAATTTCAGTTATTTAGTTTTGGTTGTTCGAATCGAATCTGGTTTGAATTGTCTTGATGTACAATGAGTGATGTGGTAGTTCATAGTGAGAAATAATATGGATAGACAGGTGATTTGTGGTTAACTTATTTTGGTGTGGACGAAGAGCCAGATTGAGAGATAGATATGTTATGAGAATGTTTCTCAATAGGGAGATCGAGATTTCTCTTCTTGATCCTATATGAACTATATTATATATTATGAATGTTTGATGGTCACTCGATCATTTATTAATAAGACGAGTTATAACATCTAAAATATTAGACTCGATCATACTTATGGGTTTGAGTCAAACTATAAATTATGTGTTTTTTCCTTTAATTTTGTTGAAATTATAGAGAAAAAAATATGATACATTGAAAGGAAAAAGAGGAGAAAAGAAAGAAAGAGTAAGAGGATAAAATAATTAAGAGAGGAAGGGAAATAAATGAAAAAGAAAAATTGAAAAGAATTTTGATGTGATAAATTTATGAGATATGTATTTATATTGATATTAGTTTTTTTATAATTCATAGTTATTATAAGATAACATATTTTCACACTCAATAGATATAATTGTTTGTATTGACAATGTGTATAGGGATGGTAATGGGTCGGATTAGGGCCTTGTTTTTTGTCAATCCGACTTGAAAGTTATATATCCTCCGTCCGATCCGACACGAACCTAAAAATACATATCTTTCACTTGACTCCGACCCGAATTTTTAAAGTATAAATATGATCCGGTATAAAATAAGGACTTAATTAAAAATAATAAATATTTTAAAAATTACTTTATTATCCCTAGATCGGGTCAGGTCAGAATTTTTTCACCCTCCACCCCAACCCGACCCGACCTCATCCCCTTAAAAAATTGACCCGACCCAAAACGAATCTGATTTTTAAAAATAAATTCGACCCTTTTAAATCGGGTATGGTCAGAATTAAGGATGAGCATGAGTTGGGTCGGGTTGGATTTTCGGTCCACTCGACCCGAAAATTTTAAATCCTATACCTGACCCGACCCGAAAAATATACCCTTCCATCTGACTCGAACCTGACCCGATTTTTTGAGTTAAAATTCGAATCCAACCCGGCCCAACACGAAATAATATATTTATTTAAAAAAATATTATCTTTATTTAATAAAAATAAGGATTTAATTGAAAAAATAATATATAGAGTGGTATTATTGCAATTATCCCTAAATATATAAGGTAAAATTATATTTTTTTGGGTCGGGTAGGATATTTTTCACCCTAAACCCGAACCTGACCCAACACGAACCTAAATATTTTAAAAAAAATTCAACCCAATCGAGTAGGGTCAAGTTAGAACCAGTCGAATTTTGGTCCCATACCCATCCCTAGTCAAAACCCATCGTTTCAGATTAAATTATCATCCCTAAATACGCATACACTCTATAGATATCGTTATCCAAACATAGAAACTTAAGAAAATCTATATACTTTTATTATTATGATCAATAGAAGAATTTATAATTATTTAAACCTAAATCTTTTAAGAACAATATTTCATTTTTCTGTTAAAATCCTTGGATAAGTCTTTGGTATTGATATTAAAACTATGATATCATGACATGATTGCCACTAATTACATGAAGTAATGCAATCATGTCCGGATTTGTCCTTTATTTGGACACCTTTATACCACAATCCATGATATCCCGACTTAATTGCAAGATTTGTCTGAATATCCAAGTGTTCAAATCTAAAAAAAAGTCAACATTTGCTACTTCACTTGATTGTTCATACCCGTAGCAAACGCAAAGCATAGTTTATTAAACGACAGTTGCTTTTTTAATCAGCAAAATCCACAATGGCAGGCACCCATCAAGGCTGGAGAGACAAGTCATTATGACATCACATAATGCTGGTTTTTTTCCTCCACAAAAGATCGAGGTTAAATTATGCGTTTAATATCTAAACTATAAGTTTTGGTTCGTTTTAATACATAAACTTTTAAGTTTTTCAAAATTATACTTAACGTTTAGTTTTTGTTTCATTTTAATATCTCTCTGTTAAGAAACTTAACGACAGTGCATTTTTACGTTTAGTTTTTGTTTCATTTTAATATCTCTCTGTTAAGAAACTTAACGACATTGCATTTTTATGGATAAATTACATCATTCATTACTTTACTATCTTCTCACTCTTATTTTGATACTAAAGTTTAAAAAATTTCATTTTAACTGCTTAACTTTAAAATTGCTCCCATTTTAATCACTCTAATTTATTTTATTAATAATTTTTATGACATGACATTTTATTATTATTTTCTTAATATATAATTAAAAATAAAAAATAAATGTGAGAGTTATAGTGATTAAATTAGGAGTAATTTGAAAGTTAAGTGATAAAAGTAAAAACTTTTGAACTTAGGAGTAAAAAGATAGTTGAGTGATGAATGATACAATTTACACATAAAAAAGTGCCACGTGAAAATCGTTATATTTTCAACGGCAACGGCAAGTTACTAAAAAGAAACAAAACCTAAACGTTATACATGATTTTGAAAAAATCAAAAATTTATTTATGAAAATAAACTAAAACTAATAATTTATGTATTAAAATGTAATTTACCCAAAAACAATTGTACTCCTAAAATTCTTAAATTTTCTTACTAAAATTTATATATATATTTATTAATAATTTATTTTCATTCGGATATAATATTTTGTGTCCGTCCCTATAACGAGGGAACCACCCAATCGTAGGTGCTCTGCACCCTCCAAAAAATCAATCATTCACATGAACAATGGTTTAATTTGTATATTAGAAATTAACAAAGATTTTATTTTTCTCAGGGTTCTCATGTAGTACTGCCACAAGCTATGTGCAGTATATATTTCTTGGTTCTAGCCATACTTCTGCCTTGCTGCTTCGAGATTCTAATCTTAAGCTGCTCCACCGCCATGAAGGAAACACTCCGGTACTTGGCCGGCATTGCTGGCCCCAACGGCTACGGCTCCAAAACCACCGCCGATCAAGTTGTCCGATCTTTTTCTTCTTCCCCTCACCACCATCTCACTGCCATAATCACCGGTATGTTTATTTCTTTTCCTGCTAACGGGTGGTTCTTTTTGTTTGTACAAAGATATGGTTTTTTGTCTCTTGTTACCTACAGATAAGTTTCGAGTACATATATAGTATATTTGGCTTTATTGGATGGTATTTTCTTTTTGGTCTTACAAGTGGAACCATGTGTGTTGAAGGGGCGACTTCCGGCATCGGAGCGGAGACGGCGAGGGTGCTGGCGAAGAGAGGAGTTCGACTAGTGATACCGGCGAGGGATCGGAAGAAGGCGGTCGCATTGAAGGAAGGGATTGAGAAGGAGAATCCCAAGGTTGAGATTTTCTTGTTTGATATTGATCTCAGCTCATTGGCTTCTGTCAAGAGATTTTGTACTCAGTTTCTGGCACTTGGACTGCCACTTAACATCCTCATGTAGGTTCAATTGCATTACTCGATCCTTCTTCTTCCGATGATGATGATGATGAAAATAATATATCGAACACATCGATTTTACAGAAACAATGCAGGCATATTCTCTCAGAATCTGGAGTTTTCAGAGGACAAAATTGAGATGACGTTTGCAACAAATTACATAGGTACATGCACAACCCTTTTGTTTTCTTTTCTTCTATATGTAATTGGTGTGATACAAGTGTGCATGCATTTTGTTTTTGGCAGGACATTATTTACTTACAGAAATGCTACTAGAAAAGATGGTAGAAACAGCAGAGCAAACAGGCATCCATGGAAGAATCATTAACCTCTCTTCTGTGATTCACAGTTGGGTCAAAAGAGAGTGCTTCACCTTCACCCAGATGCTCAACCCCAACAAGTAATTAAGTCCCGACTCTTCGTTCGAAAATCGAAATAACGTACGCTTTGATAGAACGTGTTACATGTCAATAACGGTGTTGCAGGTATAATGCAACCCGTGCTTACGCTCAATCCAAACTGGCGAACATATTACACGCCAAGGAAATAAGCAGACAGCTAAAGGTCCGGAACTTGTTCGAACTTGTCAAACTTCCTATTTTGATAAACATCATCGTTTGGTTCTGCAAATAACCATTGGGATTTGCAGGCAAGGAATGCAAAAGTGACCATCAATGCAGTTCATCCAGGGATTGTAAAGACTGGGATTATCAGAGCACACAAGGGCTTCATTACAGGCAAGTTCTTTCCATGTTTAAAAAAACAACTAAATCTAATTTAATGACTGAACAATTGTTGTGTATAATCTAAACGCAGATTCTCTATTTTTTATTGCTTCAAAACTGCTCAAGTCCACCTCACAGGGTGCATCAACTAGTTGCTATGTAGCATTGAGCCCACAAGCACAGGAGTTGACTGGGAAATACTTTGCAGACTGCAACGAATGTAGCTGCTCGGCCTTGTCCAATGACGAATCCGAGGCTCGGCGGCTGTGGACGCACACCCGAGCTCTGATCCACAGAAGATTGCAGTATCAAATCACTACACCATCTTAGAATGTCTCATTATTTACCATGTTTATGTAAAATGGTAAACTTAGATTGATTAGAAAGCTTAGTTTGTACATAGTACCTAAAAATGAGCATGGCACTTTACAGGGATTTTTTTGTTAATCTGGGGTAAGTTACAGGGATTATTTTGGATAAATAATAAGAGGGGTGTTGTGGATCAACCCCTAATTTAGGTTGTAAATGGATTTTTGCTATAAAATGGGTAGTGCTTTGGACATTTTTTTTGCTTTTAGTACTGCTTTTAAAAAGGCCAATAGGGATCATCTCATCATGGTCTGAACCGGACCAAATTCTTCAAAAACCAAACCTTTTTACAGGTTGCAGTAAGATAAATGGGTTAAGTAGGCCTCTAATAACACGAACGAGTGTATGATTATGTCCGTTCGTTTAATTTTAATCTAACATACGAACGAATACAAATAATTAAACGAATATAATTTCTTGTTCGTGTTCGTTTGTTAAAAAATACATCTTGTTCGTGCCGACTCATGTTCGATCGTTGAAATGGGCAAATTTTTTCTTATAAGGCGTTGAAAAAAATTATTGGCTCGTATAAGGTCTCGTTGAAATTATTTTCAGAGATGAAGTAAATGCTAAGTACTCATCGGAGGACGCCGGAAACACCATGCGCCTTCTGGAAGATGTGGCGACTGCAGTGCATCTCCTGCCTTTTATTCTGGAAGTCTTCACGTTCCAACTGGATGAACAAAGGGGAAGAGGTTTTGTGTTCCCGGCGTCTCAATTTTTTTTTCAATGCCCCATAAAAAAAATTATCGTTAAAATGATAAACGAACATAAATAAGCACAAATGAACATAAACTAACGTAAAATGTAATTTTCTTTTAAATCAAGGAAATTTATTAAAAGAATACAAATGAATTAATATAAATATAAGTAATAAATTAATAAACATAAACAAATGATTTACCGAACGTAAACGAATGGATTACTTAAGATAAATTATCATTGAACGGATTACCAAACGTTCACGATTCTTTTATTTATGTTCGTTCATTTAATTAAACAAACATAAAATTTTATTTATATTAGTCTATTAAATAAATAAAAAATATAAATAAACTTTTCACCGCCGAACGTTTGATGAACGATTTGATCGACGTTGGATGTATGGGTTAATCCCACGTGAATGAAATGAGCAAAACAGATTTAATAACGGCGGTGGAGCAATTTAAGATTCAGACAAAGAGTTGGTGTAGTATTAGATGTAGAATAAATGGAAGAGAGCAGACCATGGCACCACCTCTCTAACCTCCCTTCTTCTTCAGCTGTACACATTTCTTCAAATTAACAGTATTTATCAAGGAACAAAAATGCTTTAAAAATGGCTTCCAAAGCCCAACTCTTCATCTCTCTCCCTCATTTACCTTCCCCTTCAAAACCCAGGTAAGCTCAAAGTTTTGCTTTTTTCTTGCTTTACCCACAATTTCCCATCAACTAAACTCTATTTTCTTTCTACAGGGCTTTAAGCATCAGCTGCTGTCTCGAGATCAAACAAGCAAGAAATGATCAAACCAGTAGCAGCAACAAGATTCCGACCGGCCTCCGCGTGGCATTCGCCGCCGGTGGAACCGGCGGGCACATCTACCCGGCGGTAGCAATAGCAGACGAGCTCAAACTCGTCAACCCAACCTCAAAGTTCATCTTTTTGGGCTGCCCCAACAGCATGGAGAGCACTGCGATTCCCTCGGCTCATTTTGAGTTCAAATCAATCCCAGCCGTCAAATTAGCCAGGCCTTTCGTCTCCCTCCGTAATCTCCTCCTCCCCTACCGTCTGATCGAATCCATCATCAAATGCTATATCCTTTTGTCCATATTCCGACCCCATGTAGTCATCGGAACCGGTGGGTATGTTTCTTTTCCGGTCTGTTTAGCCGCAGTACTCAGGGGGGTCAAGGTTGTGATCCAAGAACAAAACTCTGTTCCCGGTATTGCTAATCGGGTTCTCTCTTTGTTTGCTGATTTGGTGTTTGTTGCATTCAATTCAACGGTTGAGAGTGTCCCAAGGAAAGAAAAGTGTGTTGTCTGTGGAAATCCCATCAGATTGTCTTTGAAAAGTCCGGTCGAAAAGGCGGCATCTAGGTTGCATTTTTTCGAAACAATGGAGGGTTCTTCTGAGGAGATTAAAGTGGTTTTGGTTCTTGGAGGGTCTTTGGGAGCTAATGCTATCAACATTGCTTTGTTGCATGTGTACTCCCAGTTGCTGTTGGAACATAAGAATTGGTTCATTATATGGCAGACGGGGGTACATTCATTCGATGAAATGGAGAGCTTGGTTAGGAGCCACCATCGGCTTCTTTTGACACCGTAAGTCCGCACCGTGCTCCGATGTACGATTTAGCATACTTATTTCTTGCTCTGTTATGTTTGTTCGATTCATTTAAGACTGTCTAATGCACAAGTATGATTTGTTTTGTTCTATTACGCCTCGTCTGCTTGCGAGTTACGATATGGGAACATGGTACACTGAATGAACTAATGAAGCAATAATGTTTAACACTGAAGAAAATATGCCTTAGCAGCAACTCTGTAAGAACATTTATTTTTACCTTGTCGTTGCTAATGATCTAAGAAAATTGACTATGAAGATGAAGTTGAGACGATAATTAGGGGATATACATGATACTTTTTGAATTTTTGTGTAGTTAGATTGGAGAGAACTTTACATAACCAGATATTGCTGGAGAAAATTAAAGAATGAATTGTTCCGCATTAGTCGCAAGGGCACTCTAGTTTGGTTGAAACACACACAAGCACTTATGGATCAGTTGTGGTTTTTTGTTCTTAGTTTGATAGGCCACTCTCATTGACACATCTTCACATTGAAGAGAAGACAAAAATGTAACTGCCCTGGGCTTGTTCGAATATCCAGGTCAAGGTGCATCTTTTTGCTTGCCTTGTAAGGTTAGGTGCTCGCTCGACTGCTGGAATCTACTTTTTGATCTTCTACCGTTCTATCTAATGTAGCGATAAGTGTATATAGTTTTTAGAGCAACTTGCACATGGTTGCATGATGTAGATAAGACCTATAGGTGTCGCATCTTGTTGCTGGAATTCACACGAAGTAATAGGCTCATGTTTTTGTTATTATAGGTTATGGCCTCATCGAAAGGTAAATCTCTCGTGTAACGTGGCTGGCATCGATATAATCAACTTAAGCTCTTATAAAATCAGTTGTTCTTTCAGATTGTGTATTTACATATTGGGCTTCTTTTCGTCCATGGTTGTTTGATCTAATTATCATTTCTTTAAGTTACCGGTATCCATCCTTATTAATTGGCAGTTGTACCGCAGAGGCCGGATCCTTGCTTCTAATTCCTGTGATTTTCTAGAAGTATGCTCGAAATGTTACGAGCTTATTGTTCAAACCTTGTCTATATCTGTGGTTACCAAGTGAAGCTTAGATTTTTTAAATGATTATGTGCTTACTAAAGTGTCCTAATATCTGATGTGTGCTCTGAAATTACGAAGGTTTTTGCATTCAATGGATATGGCATATGCAGCGGCTGACCTCATTGTTTCACGAGCCGGCGCAATGACTTGTTCTGAGATCTTGGCTACTGGGAAACCTGCTATATTGGTAGGCCCGAACACCATTTCCGCTTTTCACTTTTTTTTTTGTTCTCTCCAGGCATCAAATAACTTCAATTACTGAAACCATAAGGGAGCTAACTAGATTATTTTACTAATCTAATATGCTAGCTAAGATGGCTCTACCATTTGACATATATCGACAGATGGTTATCTGTTCGGAGAACATATTAGTCCAATTTTGGTAAAGGAATTCTTGTAGCCTCATACCATAGAATCATAGATGACTTGATGATATGTTATGCTTCATGTTGTCATGGTGACAAAGTCAAACATTAACTTCAAGAGAAGCGAGTGGAAGAGAACTAAATGAGAAGGTTTGTCCGCATGGAACGTGCTTCAACCCTGATGACTGTGATCGGTCGAATTTCTCTGTAATTGTTAAAATAAACTGCATCTTTTTCTTCTTGAATAATATTAGTACTGGTAATCTTGTGCCTTTAGAATCATGGCTTGTTTTCTTTTTGAAGGTTCGGGAATCATGCTTTCAAAAATGTTTCATAACACAGAGGTCTAACTGCACCGTTGATGATACATGGACCTTTACAATTTATACATCTTTCTAACTTGTTCTTATTCTTGATATGGATTAGATTGTGGCCAATATAGAATGTGAGCCTAGGCTCCTACCCGAATTACAACGTTTTGCCTCGTTTTTATTTTCAACTTATTTTGTACTTTTTGTTGTCTCTTGGATGCTGTAGGTACCATCCCCAAATGTTGCAGAAGGACATCAACACAGAAATGCTTCTCTAATGGCGGATGTGGCGGGTTCGAGGGTTATAACTGAGGATGAACTTGACTCAACCACCCTTGGGACAGCTATATCTGAAATATTAGGTATTTTACAGATGTTGCTTGGTTTTATGATTTGTGTTACGATTGGAGATCGGGACATACGAATCCCGATTACTAAATTTGCCTAATAGACACCCCTTGTATTGGGACATATTTGCTTCATGTCCTGCTAGTGTTATGCTTGAAACATACCTAACATTTGCTGCATGGATTATGTCATCTGTTTCACAGGGAATGAGAGATTGCTGGCAGAGATGTCCGAGAGGGCTCTGAAAGCTGCGAAGCCCGATGCTTCATCGGAGATTGCAAAACGCATCCTTTCCCTAGTTAACTTATCTGGTAAGGAAGTTGATGGATAAAAATTTATCTTGCTTAGCAACCCTGGATGTTCATTGTTGTTGTGGGATCTGATAGTTCTTGTTTATGGATATCAATCAATAACTTTCACAAATAGCTTGCAATGATTTTCATGGATGAAAATGCTCGACATCCATGGAAGGAAAACCGGACTGTGCTGTTCTCATTCCTTGAAGCAAACTCTTTGCGGTTTCCCTTTCCTGTAATCAAAGTATAGATTCATAAATCCAGATAATTTTCTACAATGAGCTGAAAGAACAAGGATGAAACTCACTGGTCCGGTATAATCCAGAAGGCGGTACAATACACTTCCGCTTCTTCGAATCTCGTGTGTTTTGCAGTGTGGGGCAAGAAACGTCAGTGCTTCAACTGTGTTTGGTCCTTCCCTCTCTTCAGCTTCCATTCTTTCTATATCCTTTCTGTAATAGAACGCCGCCTCCTCGGGACGGCCGAGTTCTCTATGCAACTCTGCTAGTCGATGCAGGGCGATTGCTTCTGTGTCATTACAACTCACAGCCCTTTTGTAACATTTGATGGCCTCCTCAAGCATGTGAAGTTGTTCAGATTCATAGCATTGAGCAATGGCAATCCATAACTGAGAATCGATTGGCTGAAAGAAGATAGATTCCCGGAAATAATGCAAAGCATAACAGGGCATCCCCATCATCTCCTATGCTTGTCCAACCCATACCAGGCTCGATAATTGTGAGGATTTATGTCCACGGCCCGTCGATAGGCATCAACTGCTGCCTATCAACTGCAGCCGTAGTGTTTTTCATCTCGATATACTCGTGCCCCATTAGAGTCCAAGCGGATAAATATATTTTGTTCAATCTGTAGCCCTCCTAAAGTACATGACAGACTTCTCATTTTGGCCCTTTTAAACCGTAGTAATTTCCGATAATGCAGCAAGACTCCGGCCGATACTTATCCGTCATAATCACCCTGTGAGCAAGGTAACTCAAGGCAGAGAAACATTCCTTTGTCTAGAACACATTTAGATTATGTATCCATGTCCTCTACTCGATACGGGTCGTTCCAGTTTGATCGTGAAGCACATGAGCATCTCTCCTATATTCTCAGCAATCGAAGTAAGACTTCGCTAGAAGGTAAAAGTCGTCATTTATCGCTTCATCTTCCTCCATCACCGGAGTGGACACATAGGCAACGCCGGCGGGAGGTGTTGAAGTGATCTCATTGGTTTGGAGCCTTCTGCGTATACTCGAGTTTCCGCGCTTAAAGCTTGTGTTTGAAGGTGAACTTTGCCGGGTCTTGCTCGATTCCGACAAGCTGTTCTGCTTCCCTGTGCATCAAAACGAAGCAAAGATGCACTGCTAAAAGACACCAAGAGGAGGTTCCATACATAGAAGGAAACAAACAACATGAAAATACAGTTAACTCGAAAAAATTTAAAATTTCACTCGAGTTATAAATAGAACTTGAATACGTAAATTTTTCAATAATTAGTTGATTGATTTCAAGTTTGAGTCGAGTTCTTTAACTATGCATGTCGTATATCACATAAAAATATGAAAAAAATATATATGTATATTCTATATATTTTAGGGGCGTTCAATCAGTCGATTCGGTTAACCTACTAACCGAGCTATCCAAAATCCAGTAACCAATTTTTCTTCATGTAACCATTAACTGAACCGAAATTTTTTGAAATTTTTTAACTGAACCAAACTAAGTTCAGTTAATTCGATCAGTTAACCGAATAATCAAAATTTATATAAAAAATGTGTTATATATTAAATATTTAATATTTTCAATTCGGACAATTCGATCAATTAATTTAGTTAAAACCAAAATTAGAATACCCCTAAAATTAAATAATATATATATAATATTAAATATTTAATAATTTTAGTTAATTAAAAGATTTCAAACCGAATTAATTGATAACCGAAAATTAAAAAACTATTAACCGTTAATCGATAAAACTTAAAATTAATAGACCGATGAACTGATTTTTTTAATTTTGATCTATTAATTCGATTTTAACCGAATTATAAACCCTTAATATATTTATTAAAAAACAATTTAAATTGGAATAACACGAATAAAACTAATTGGGTTAATACAGAGCCCAAAAAAGACTTACTTTTTCAGCCTCCGAAGGTCGCTGTTATGATTGGGCCTAAAAGATATAAAGATCGTTGCTTTATTTCGTTTTATTTCGCACAACATCATGAACGCCGCCGCTTCCGGCGCCGCAGCCGCCTCCGGTCTCAGCAAACTCATTCTGGCATCCACCAACCGCCAGTCTCTAATCAGATCACTCGTCTGCCCCTCCATCTATTGGACCCCACTTTTAGTCGACACAATCCTTAAGCAGCTTTGGAACCACGGCCCCAAAGCCCTCCAGTTCTTCCACATCCTCCTCCACCACCATCCCACCTACGCCCACTCGGTCTCCTCTTTCGACCACGCCATCGACATCGCCGCCCGTCTCAGAAACTACGCCACCGTCTTCACCCTCCTCCACCGCATGCGCTCTCTCCGCCTCCACCCCACCCCCAAAAGTTTCGCCATAATCACTGAAAGGTACGTAGCCGCCGGAAAACCCGATAAAGCACTCAAAATCTTCTTATCGATGCATCAACATGGTTGTTTCCAGGATTTACATTCTTTCAATACCATTCTCGATGTTCTATGTAAAGCTAGGCGTGTTGAGAAAGCATGGAACTTTTTTAAAGTGCTCAGAGGAAGGTTTCAAGCTGATGTTATCAGTTATAACATAATTGCAAACGGTTGGTGTTCAATCAAGAGAACAAATAAGGGTCTTGAGACTTTTAAAGAGATGATGGAGAAAGGATTGAGTCCGAATTTAACTACTTATAACATAATCCTCAAAGGGTATTTTCGAGCTGGTCAAATAGATGAGGGCTGGAAGTTTTTCCTGGAAATGAAAAGGCGAAAGATCGAATTCGATGTTGTTACTTACACCACTGTGGTTCATGGTCTTGGTGTTGCTGGTGAGATTAAGAGAGCTCAGAATGTTTTCAATCAGATGGTTGATGATGGCGTGTTGCCCTCTGTTGCAACATACAATGCTTTGATTCAAGTTCTGTGTAAGAAAGACAGTGTAGAGAATGCGGTTTCGGTTTTTGAGTCGATGTTGAAGAAGGGCTATGCTCCGAATTCGACTACTTACAATGTGGTTATCAGAGGTTTGTGTCATAGAGAACAGAGGGAGAGGGGTATGGAATTCATGGATAGGATGAGGGATGATGGTTGTGGACCGAATGTGCAGACTTACAATATTGTGATTCGGTACTTTTGTAACGCCGGTGAGATCGAGAGAGGCTTGGCGTTGTTTGAGAAGATAAACAGTGGGGATTGCTTGCCGAATTTGGATACATACAATGTGTTGATAAGTGCAATGTTTGTAAGGAAGAGATCTGATGATATGTTGGTGGCCGGGAAGTTGCTGGTTGAGATGGTTGATAGAGGGTTTACTCCCCGGAGGTTAACGTTCAACCGTGTCTTGGATGGACTCTTGCTGACTGGTAATCAAAGTTTTGCAAAGGAGATCTTGAGATTGAAGAGCGGATGTGGCCGTTTTTCACGACGGTTTAAACTGTGAATCGCGTTTCGAAGTTTGGCATGCTGATCCATTGGAGGATTTATGCTTCTTGAATGTGGAAATGCAATGTGATGGGTGAAAAAAATCATAGTGATTCTGTCTGAATTTGAAGCTCTTGAATGCATAGCTCCATTGAACACCATACTTGAAAGGTGTTCTGTCTCTCATTCCTTTGGAATAACTTGCCCATGTTGTTCAATAGTTAATCAAATACTTGAATTTCCATGGTCTCAATCTATTGAACGGCCGCTATTTTCACAAACTCGATTCGATCAAACGCTCATTCTTAATGACATGCTCATGCATTCGCCAAAACATCCAAAACTACTATTACACTGTCTTGACGAGTTTTAAGGGTAGCGGTATCCGTCTCTTCTTGGCGAACAGGCTCAATAGGCTTCGAGGTTGATAGTATTACATCGATTCTCGAGCACTCGTAGGGATAGTGATCCGAGCGAAGAGAGCACATCATGTCATCATCGTTTTTTTAGGGATCTTAACCTTGTGGTCGGGGAATCGAGTCTCACGGTGGACAATTCATAATTGCCGTAGGTCTTCCACGAAAGTTGCTCTCAACCTAGCGTTGGGGGCAGCATATTATCCTACCTCCCCTTATCCATTACATATGAGAATAGGATCAACTAATTTGGGGACAATATCAACTATTTTGCTCTTGTTTTTAGCATTTTAAATGATTATTTTACGGTAGGATGTGTGCCGCGTTCATCGTATCAATTATTGGTGGGATCAAATAGTTTGTGATGGCTATAATTGGTTTACTTCTTCTCGTCTGGACGAATAGGCTTAGTCGTTGATAGATTAGTTATTGGCCAATGTTATAAAGTTCTCTATAAAGAGAATATAGGTTACCTGATTTTATTTAGGTTGCATCATGTCTTTTTGGTCATTTTCGAGGGGTTTTATATAAGGTTTTAATACGTGTCAGTGATAAAATTATAATGATTATTCGTAAGTGTAGACACTATTTTCGTCCGAAATTTTATTTATTTATAATATCATAGTTTTTGAAAGATTTTTTTGTGTTTTTTAAAAATCGTTTTTGAAAATATATATATATAATATAGTTTTTAAAACATTTTGAAAAAATATATATAATATAGAGTTTTTAAAACATTTTGAAAAAATATATATAATATATAGTTTTAAACATTTTGAAAACTTATATAATATATAGTTTTTTAAAAACATTTTGAAAAAATATATATAATATATAGTTTTTAAAACATTTTGAAAACCTATATATAATATATAGTTTTTAAAACATTTTGAAAACTTATATAATATATAATTTTTTAAAACATTTTGAAAATATATATAATATATAATTTTTAAAACATTTTGAAAACTTATATTTAATATAGAGTTTTTAAAACATTTTGAAAACTTATATAATATATAGTTTTTTAAAACATTTTAAAAATATATAGGTTTTGAAAACGTTTTTAAATACATATAATATTAGTATACCTTTTATTATTATTTATTATCTTTTTTTAGGGTCCAAGAATTTGTTCAGGTCCAGCACAGGCTAAACGGGTTTGAACCAGCTCAAGGGTCGATTAGGGTTACATCCTTAGCAGAGGCGTCGCATGTGAGGGGCTCAAGGGGCGCATGAATACCACACGCTAGTCAATGCACGGGAAACGGTCGATCAAGATCCCTGGGACTGAACTATCCCGGGGTTTTCGATCAACCCACAACCACGCGAACACGCAACCGTGGCAACAACCCACGTGAATCCCGGAGATGGCCTCCGACGATGGGGTATAGATACCCCCACCGAAGCTGCTAACAACACAAGGATCCAACACAAGAACATCGAACATAGATCGGGAAACCATCATAAACACAACACACAACAAGAGCCAAAATAACAACCAACACCACTATTCAGCAAAAGGCAGCCAAGATCGAACCAAAAACATACGAGAAACCAAGCCAAACACAACAAAACCCAACAAGTACAACAAAAGCCACACACACAAAAAGCAGCTCCGATCTAGGCTGATTGAGGCTTTTTTGTGGTAATTGGGTCTTGGTTTCAGGTTCGCGGAGTAGAGAGGAACATTTGGGGAGAGTTTTGATTTTTTCGGTCGTCGCTCATGGCGGCCTGAGCGGCGGTCGATGTCGTTTGGGTGGTGGTTGGTAATCGGAGTGGTGGTCGGGTTTCCACCAAATGAGAGGGTTAAAGAGAAGGGAGAGGATTTGAAAATTGCGAAATGAGGGGAATGATAATGTTTTTGTGATTCGGGGGTATTTATAGGGGGAACCATTGTGTAATTAACCAATAGTTAAATTATTTCCACAGTCCCTATACTTTTGAAGTATAGTTCATTTTGGTTACCTATTTTAATTTTGCCCTCGAATTTTCAATTTATTCAATTTAATCATTGTTTATACTTTTTATATTTTGCAATTTAACCTCTCTAACTCTTTATTTTTCTCTTGTAGCTCATTTTTAGTACTAATTTAATCCATTAATTTCAATTTGTTTGAATTTGGTCCTTTTATTTTTTTAGTTATTCATTTTTTTCTTTCTCTTTTTTATAAAAAAGAATTTTTATTAGTATTCGTTTTATGTTTTTTTAACTTCTTATTATTTTTTTACTTTTAAAATTTAACATTTTTTATTTTTATTTTTTGTTATTGTTTTTTTATTTTGATTTATTTAATATTTTACATTTTTATTATTTTTATTTTTATGTTTTTTATTTTATTTTTTACTCAATTTTATTTATCTATTTTATTTATTTTATTATTATTATATAATTTTTTATTTTTATATTACTTCTTTTTCAGTATTATTTTATTATCCCTTTTAATATTTTTTTACTTTTTTCATTATTTTTTAAACCTTTTTTAACCCTTTTTTTCTTTTATTTGATATTTTTTTTATTTTTTTAATTTAACATTCTTTTTTTATTTTTCAGTAATAATCTCAATCGATTAAAGGTAAGTAAATTTGCGTTGAATTTTTAAGTTTAAATTTAAAATTTCGCAATTAAAGACAACCGACAAGTTAATTGGTACCAAAAGAGCAGTATAATGGTGCTAATCCTTCATTGAGAGTAACCGACTCCCGAATCTGACATATTTATGATAAAACGCAGAACATGTAATATGGTGTCCGATCTACCCAAATATTTTAAAATGATCGGTGACGACTCTAACCATTTTATTCAAGTCGAAACTAATTCTGGGCCTACCCAAAAGATGGTCGTGATAGTAAGTTGGTAGAATACCTAAATACAATTAGGTGGACTTTGATAGGTCAGGGTGGGCCTGTTACAAATTATATCAATTGGATTGTGAAATGCTAGCTATTTGATGACTTGAAGGTCTAGAGATGCTCCAAGGTCTTCATGTAGTTGTGAGACATAATGTATATGAGAATCTTTGACAAACAAAATAATAATATTTTTGTGTGGAAAGGCAATAAAATTTATATATATTGTGGGCAGATTTTATTTATTTGTGAATATACAGTTGTTGAAAATTTAATTTGAAATTCAGATATTTTTTATAATACACGTGAAATTCATTATGTTTACGCGATAAAACATAATAAAAGAATAAAGTCCAATTCGTGAACTGAACGAAAATTGTATGAAACTCGTCATATACACAATATAACACATGATTTGGTTTTCAAATTAATTTTCTAACACTTATATTTCTACACTAAAGAACCGTTCATTTAACTGAAAACAGATTCCGGAAAATGAATTCCATAAGATGAATTACATTTCCTGAAAAATATTTTTTGGAAATTAATTTATAGTGTTTGGATTATGTTGTGTAATTCATTTTCCATTGGTTGGTAAATTTTTTAAAAATTCTTTATTATAAACATCAAAGGCAATGAATAACATTATTTATTAAAAAAAATAATACTATTTTTCAAATATTAGAATAATTTATCTAATATTATTTACATCAATATTATCATAAAAATATTATATCTACAATTTTAAATAAAAATATTAATATTATTGTATTTTATTAAAATACAAATATTATAATTATATTAAATGTTTATTAAAATAAAAATAATATATTATTAAGTATATTAATTACTTATTAAAATAATAATATTATTAAACTAATAAAATTTATAATATTAAAATAAGAATATTATATTATATTTTAAGGAATGTATTTTAAATATTTAACAATTTAAATAATATTATTTTTATGAAATTAAAAATAATATTATTTTTATTAACAATTTATTACATATTATTAAAATATTATATTATATTATAAAAATTATCAATAAATATAATTTAATAATTAATATTTTATTAAAATTATACTAAAATAATATATTAATATTAAGTATATAAAACAATAATATTTTGAATGTTTCTGGTTTGAAGTGAAAAGTTCGTAAAAATACTTACGAAAAATCAAACCATAAGTCATTTTTTAAAAAATACAAAAGAAATTTATTTGATTAGGAAAATGAACTACATTAATCATCTGTTTTCTGTCAACTAAATACTGAAAAATGAGAAAAATATTTTTTAAAATATCAATTATAGAGAAATAACAAACCCTAAATGTGTAGTTTACCCTATAAATTAAGGTGAGGGTCAAAGAAGCAAAGTTTGATTGGTGTAAGGGTGAATTGAGAGCTACGGTTCATACGGGTCATGTCCCGACTCAACCGCCGTCGCTGAGTCCAATATCAGCCAACAACTCGGTGGCGTTTTGCTATGGAGTGGCTCTAGGGGTTGTGACAACTGTAACACTGCCTTCTCCTCTTGTCTCTTTCCTTTCGTATCCATCCCATGCAAAAGGACAAGACGCGTCTCTGCAACACTTTTTTTCTTCTTCTTCTAATCAACTTTTACATCACGTTTTTAAATACAAATTTTTTTAAAAAAAATTTATAATAATAAAAGAAAATTAAGTGAATAATTTAAATACAAGAGAATCAAATATTTTAGGCTTAATTAGAAAATAAGTGCCCAAACTTTATCGGTTTTTAAATAGGTGCTTAATTTTTTTTCTGATTCATCCAGGTGCCTAACATTACAAATGTTATCATTGTAGGTGTCCGAACCGTAACGATCATTAAATTATGTCGTTAAAGGATACATGTCACATTCAGATAATTTTGTAATTTTTATTTTTAAAAAAATTTTAAATTATATTTAAAAAATTCAATTTTTTTAAAAATCTTAAAAATACCCTCAAATGTTGAAAAACCCTAAATATAATTCCTATATCCATATCGATCACCCCCTTCCCGTCATTACTGTCGATCGAACCTCCATTCGGGCACACCTCCACCTGATGACCATTTTCCTAACCAAGAGCCACTACAACCAGAGTCGACGAGAGTTTAACCGAGTTCGTCGTTTCATCAGGTTTACTGTTTATTTCATCGTCGTGGTTGGTTTTTCGGGTGATTGTTCGGGGGTAAATGATTGTTGGGGTAGGCTCGTTCGACAACAACGACGACCAAACCAGTAGCTTACATGGGTATAGGACTAAAATTAGAGTTATCAAAGATTTGTGGGTTTTTTTAATATTTCTAAAAGTTTGGGCTTTTTTTATAAAAATATTTTTATTTTAAAAAAAATCAAAAGTATCATAACGCGACACATGTCACTTCACAGATTGTTTTAATGACGGTTACGGTCCGAACACCTAAAGTGGTAACGTTTATAACGTTAAATACCTACATGAATAAGAAAAGGTTTAAGCATCTATTTAAGAATAATAATATAGTTTGTACACTGATTTTATAATTAAGCCAAGATTTTTATAAATGGGTGCTGTTGGAGAATGGTGTTAAAATGACATACGAGCATGCAGGGGGAAATATTAATTATTGGTTGTTGCGTATATAATTAATGTATTGATGGTCTCCATAGCATGCACTGCACAAATAAGACACTGGCTGGCGCACATAAATGGACTGAGGGACCGGTAAACCTATTTTTTTCCTTTAAAAAATAAATTATTTTAAATAAATTTTTATATGTTATATATATATTTTTATTACAAATCTATTTTTATTTTCTTAAAATTTTATAAATTTACTTTTCTAACATAAAATTTTGATAAAATTGACCCAGTAAAATGTTTTTTTTATTTAACCTAATAGGGTAAGTAAAAAATTATTTTGGGGTATTTTTACAGTGACATGAAACTCATTACGTCGAGGTGACGAGTTTCAATAAAAATATTTTTTTACTCTAACATTTTACTTCTATGTGATAGATTTTAATAAAAATATATATATTTTATTGGAAATGGTCTCTTCAAAGTGATGAGTTTGACTGAAAAAATATTTTTTATCGAAACTCGTCACCTCAATGTGACGAGTTTAATGAATTTGTAACAAATATCGTAGATCCTAAAATATAAACTGAGATGTCCTAATGGGCTAAATAAAAAATCCGTTATCTTTATCGAGAAAAAAAAACCCTAAAATTTTACTATTGTCCCAAGAGGCGGGTGGAGAATCCTATTCATAAGCAAGCTGATGGGTTATTTTCTCTCACCAATATGCTAAACCTATTGGGCCGCTCCTCTTGTTGCTGGTAAAAATGGTTGGCCAATGTTTTAAGAAATTAGGTAAAGCACATGAATAATCTCGATGTTATTTTATTAAGTCTTTTAATTATAAAAAATTATAAGATAATTATTTAATTATAAAATATTATTTTATTAAGTTTATAATTATTAAAAATTATAAAATAGTTTTTTATTATAAGATATTGTTCTATTGAATCCCCAATTATTAAAAATTACAAAATGATTATTTAATTATTTATATGTTTCAAATTCGCTCTTTTTTATTAAAATGTTGGCAGTCGTTTAAGTTAGACGTTAAGCTATTGACTATGATATAATGAAATCTAATTTTAAACCGTTTGAGTTGTATTTTATAGATGTACTATTTGCTTACATTATATCATTGAGCTAGTATTTGAAACATTATGTAGTCGAATCAATGCTTGATAATAACGACATTAAAATTTGATTTTATCATATCATAGTTAATATATCAAGACAACCATAAATTTTTAGCGATAAATGATTAGTTTATAACATATAAATAATCATTATTTTATAACTTTTAATAATCGAGGACTAAAGAAAACGTCATATAATCATAAGGCGTAGAGATGCACATAGCCGGATTTAAATCCGATCCGGATCAGATAAAAACCGATCCGGTTTTTTCACTAAGCCAAAAAATCGGTTTATAAAAAAACCGGTTCGGATCATAACCGGTTTGGAGGGTCGGATGATGTAATCGGTGTAACGGGTTTCGGTTTGAAAAAAACCGGTTTTTAAAAAAAAAACGGTTTTTAATCCGGTAAAAAATCCGATCATCCAATTTTTTAAACTCCAAACCGAATTTTTAAACCCCATACCGGATTTTTTTCCCGGATAAAAAACCAATTTTTTATCCGGTTTTTAATCCGGTAAAAAATCCGGTCGTCCAATTTTTTCCCAAACTGGTTATACTATCCGGTTTTAAAATATCCGATCCGGTTTAAAAAAAACCAGTTTTTTCCAAATCCGATTTCGGATATTTTTTGCGTAAAATCGGATATTCGAATTTTTTGTGCACCTCTAATAAGGCGATTTTATAAATTCTAATAATTAAGAAACTCAATAAAATAATATCTTATTGTGAGGTCTATTTTGTGTACTTTACCCTAATAAATATTGGTTATATACCGTATCGGATTGGGGGTAGTTCTGTTGTACAACATACTACTATAAAACCTATGAAGCACGGGGACGATAAAGGAGTCCCGTTTCAAGTACCCGATACGTTTTAGGCACGGGGACGATACGGGTACGCACCAGGAACGTGACACGGTGATAGGGTACGAATGATCGAATTCGAGGATGGTCAAAACTTACCTGAGGACGTTTCGAGGAGTATCGCATTGCTGCGAACGGCGGCGGCACGACGAGGAGTGAATGAACGATGGCTAGGTTTTGTTTTGGTTTTTATATTCGAGTAGCAGTAGTAGTACTATAAGAAGAAAACAGATAGAATCATTAGGAGGAAGTTAAATTAAGAGGAGATTAATGAACCCAGAAAAACCCATAATTCATTTACATTTATTTTTTGCTTATTTATTTGTTTCATGACATTTGGAAAAGATGAAGGGAGGAGAAAGATTGAACGAGGGAACACAAACACTCGTTTACTCCTTAACACTGCTCTAGGTCGTGTGCTGCCCAGCTGACGGCTAGGTTTTGTGAAAAGAAAGAAAAGGAAGAAGGAACAGGCCGCGCTGAGCAATGAAATCGAGAAAATTAAAAAATTTATATGAATCGAGTAAAATGGTTCGATTCGGTTTAATTTTATACAGTTCGGTTTTCGGGTTGGTTTAAAGTCTCAATTTTATTGATTCGGTTGGTTCGGGTTTTCCATAGGAAACTCATTTGTTTCATATTGAACCGAATAGACAATTTTAAAAAAAAATTATAGTTTCAAGTGAATTATTCATTGAAAAACCGATAAACCGAACCGAACCAAAAAAATCGAACCGTTAAAAAAACCGAACCGAACCGAAAAATTCGGTTTCACATAATTCGGTTTTTAATCATTTAGTTTCGATTTAAATTCTAAAAACCCATTTATTTAGGTTCGGTTCAGTTTTTAGTAAAAAATCGAACCGAACCGAAAAAATCGGTTTCACATAATTCGGTTTTTTAATCATTCGGTTTCGATTTAAATTTTAAAAATTCATTTATTTCGGTTTGGTTCAGTTTTTAATAAGAAACCGAACCGAATACACCCTAGCGCGGGGTGGGGAAGAAGAAGAGAGAATAATATTTAAATAATTTTTGGTCTATTTGTCAGTTGATCCCTGAGTATTCTAAGGCTTTCGAATATGACAATAATTTTTTCAGTATTTTCAAATTGGCCACCAAAATTAATTTAGAGATTTAGGGAAAAAATATCATATGTTAGGATTTTTAATTAGATTTAAATTAGGATGTTATACTAATTTTCTATGAAATATTGACTTTATTTATGATTATTTACATCTATTTATAATTTTAATTTTTTATATGGCGTACCCTTGTCGTCCCCATATCCTATAATTTTAAAAATTATCGTTTCTCGTCTCGTCCTCGTATCTTTTCCCATATCCGTATCGGTGCAACATAGTATAAAACTAAAGAAAGGTGTTACACAAAATATTAATATTTTTAGTATAGCGCTATCTAAAATATTTTTTTATACCAAAAATATTAATTTTACTATCTAAAATAAATATTTTAAATATTAATATTTTGGATAGAAAAAATAATAGTGTGCATCGGTGCCTGAAATCAAAAGCGTGATTAAAGGAGAAAAAGATACAGCTAGAGACTGGATGCTTTCCACTGAAGACAATGCCTTGTGCTATGCTATTTGGCCTAATCATCTGCTTTGATTACTCCATTTTCATCTTTATTTAATCTTTGACTTAATACACTTTTAGATACTTAAATCTTATCTCAAATTAACTTTTGATATTTAAAGATTTTTTTTTAAATGTGTGTTTAATTTTATCTCAAATTAATTTGTTCCAGGCATATAATATTTTATTTAAAAATAATTTAATATTATAATTTTAAAAAACTAAAAAAACCCTAAAATTTCATCGTCGATCAACCACCGTCAGTCAATGGCCATCCTTAATACCATTAGAATTGTATCACCGCTGCGATCAAAACTCAGTCTCCCACTCGTCTACGTGAAATTCCGCTAATCATTACGAAAAGCACCGTAAAGGGTCATCGATTTTTTTAAATTTCCTTCTTTATTTTCTAACAATTCCGACGACTATAATTAGTTGTATGTTACACGATTGACACTATTGAGTTCCCTTTCCTACTTTGAACAAAATCCAGCCAGTGAAAACCCTTCGTTGTTGTTGGAGGATGAGAGAGAGGGACGACATGTGGGGTTTAATTTTTTTTTGAAATTTTCTTCTTTTTTTTAAATAACATCTTTATTATTAAAAAAAATAAAAAAATAACGATAAATAATTAAAAGTATAACAAAACAAACATTAAACATTTATTTTTTAATAAAAAAATTTAAACACTAAAAATAAATTTGAAATATAGTTTATTACCTAAAAGAATATTAAGCCTTTAATCTTCTTTAACCTTTTGATTGTTCTTTGTAGGCCCCTCCCTTCTCTGACTTTTTGAGGACTCTATTCCCTATCTCGTCACCTAAAAAACAAAGCTTTGCTCACATTTCACAGATTCCAATGGACTCTGTTTGCAAGCTAAATCCCTACAAATTCCAAAAAAGAAGACAATCTTATAGCTGTTAACTAAATAAAAAAATTGGTGCTGCAACCTGCAGAAAATGTTCGTCGGTCCATCTTCAACCCTAATCCAAAAGTCTGGTGCTTTTTTTTAATCAAATAATAGGTCATGTCATTGTTTTTTCTTACAGAAACCTCTGCCTCTTCTTCAACAATGGCGGAGCATCTGAAACTAAGGAGGCCGACCAGAAGCCAAACCAGTCCAGACCCAGTGTTGGAAATCCCATCTCTAATGCACTCCACTCGTTCTAAATCTACCAACAACGAAACAAGCAAGAAGAAAGCCAACCCTTTTAGCCAGTCCTCCCTCAGAGGACTCGGCTGCACCGCATCTGCGTCGCAGCAGGTATCGGTGCCCGCCTTGATAAGCTCGTCAGCCGATTGGGAAGCCAATAAAGTAAAGAAGAAGAAGAAGAAGAAGAAGACAAGCAATAAGATGCACCATCATCAGCAAGGTGTGGTTTTGAACGAAGGGAGTGGCTATAACATGAGCTGTGGGGTGGTTCAGGATGTCTGGCGCGGGCCTGGAATTGGGCTGTCGGCGGATGCTGTTGGCTCTGTGGATCGTGTTGTGGCTAGGAGAAATGTGCCTGCCAGAGGGAAGATTGACCTTGAAAAGCTTAACCACAGGGAGGTATATCCATTTTTATCCCCTTGCATCATCCTTTTATGTTGTGTAAAGTTATGTCATATCATGAGTTTTGATCTGGATCTGGCTCCAAGATTAGGTATTTTTCTGTTGCTATTTGTTTCCATGTTTGATTCCTAGTTGTGTTCATCCTTGTTAGGTGGAAGCTTTCATCTTTAGCAGGTTGTTGCATTATTTATGAGACTGGTTAACTAGATGACTTTTCATTCTCCTTTTGATAATTAATTATAATAACACTTTTTTGGACTTTCACAAATTCTTTACATTGAATGCATTGAACGGCCTGTAAAGGTTTCGGATTCGAGCAGTTGTAACTTGTAATGTGTGCGTTATACTAGAAAGATTCTGAACATATATTATATTTTAATTATCTTAGACCGATAAAAGATGATAAATTCTTTGCATTAAAGCGGTTCTTTCTTTGCATTTGAAGCAAAACATATATCTTTGGATGAAAAGCCTGTGATGGACCCTAATGCAGAATCTTTTAAAGTTATCTCATTCAATGAGTTTTGGGTATTGAATTTGAGTTTTGATCTGGATCTTGCTCCATGATTAGGCCTTTCTTATGTTCCTATTTGTTTCCATATTTGATTCTTAGTTGTGTTCATCCTTGTTAGGTGGATGCTTTCATCTTTTGCATGTTGTTGCATTACTTATGAGAATGCTTAACTAGATGACCTTCATTCTCCTTTTGATAATTAATTATAACACTTTTTGGCCATTCACAAATTCTTTATACATTCAACGCATTGAATGACCTCAATGTTAAAAGGTAGAGTTGTTTTTCCTAAAGGTTTCATATTCGATCAGTTATGTTTGCAGGGTGTGTGCCCGCTATCAATGACTAAAAAAATTCTAAACGGATACCATCAGGGATTTAAATTACGATTGTGGTTGCGTTACGTTGATTGCACCAAAACCGCTATATACCGGCCACTATTCCAATAGTGGATCGCTATTTAATCACCTCATATTAATAAAAAAATAAATTCTTTGCATCAAGTTGGTTCCTTCCTTGTATTTGAAGCAAAGCATATATCTTTGGGTGAGAAACCTGTGATGGACCCTATTAGATTAGGAGATGGTTATGGAGAACTTTTGATAAGCATGTGAATGTTCATGTAAATGGTTTTGTTTTCTCCTTTCAGCATGATGAGTGTTCTTCTACAATATAATTTATGGCATAATTTTGTGGTTATGTTAGCTGATTTTGTTTCATATATGTTGACAGCCTTCTTGCACGGCAAGGCGGCCTGTAAATCCTGAAATGCTCTCCTTTCTTGATTCGGATTCGGCCTTCATCTCGTCACGTCCTAAACCCGATTTCTTTGGAGCTAGATACTATCGTCATGCTCGGCATCCTTCTCTGGAGGGGCTTGCTGAGGTACTGTCCGTATTTTCGTGTTCTGCTATACGGATTTCTAGCGAATATCGTCTATGCAATATTGTTAGTTGTTTCATGTGCACAGCTTTCATTCTAAGGAGTTTACTACTATTCCTGATATTCTCTTACTAGCACGATGAATACTATGGATCGTGTTAAAAAAATGGTTATATCTGGTGTAGATGATGATGCTACAGAACAATTTGATAATGGGGGCACGTGATCGATTCAGCGTCTGGAGGCTTGATATCGATAGCATGTCGTATGAGGTATGTTTTGCTGTCGTATTGGTCTCGTTAAACCGTATGATCCCATTGCTTTACAGAAACAAACATTGTTTTCCCCGCTTTCAAAACAGCAACTACTGGAGCTCGGTAACAAAATCGGTTATGTCAACACGGGATTGAAAGAAGATGAGATGAGCAGATGCCTGAGAAAGATGAAGGGGTCGATTATGGGAAACAAGTGCAGCATTTGCCAGGTGAGTTTGACAATTGAATCGTGTACCGGTTCCGTTATCTTTATCTGATTTTTTACGCTTGAAATGATCGGGATAGGAGGAAGACGAAGAAGATGAAGAGAAGATGAAGAACTAGCTCTGGGTTTTGCTCATTGCTACTATGGTTTTGTGATTGAGTTGCCTATGTGTTGTTTTTGTATTCTTTTTTCTTGTTTAAATCATATTTGTGATTGAGTTACCTCTGAAGCCGCATCCGCCACACTTCAATATTCAGCCTCAGTGGTTGATCTCGAAAAAGATCGTTGTTTTTTCGAACACCATGAAAAAAATGCTGCCCCAAAAACACTCCGTGGCTTGTGACTGAGCGTCAACCGTCGATGTTGCTTGCCTATTCCGTATCAACAAACGCCACAATAGTAGTAGGCTTTCCATTTGCACGAAACAAAAGACCATGGTTTAGTGTCCCCTTCAAATAACGCAAGATGCGTTTAACAGGCAACCGCTGTTTCTCACAAGGTCATTGCATATACTGAGTAACACGATTGACACTAAACGCAACATCTGGTCGAGTATAAGTCAAGACAACAAAGCACCAACAGTACTTCTGTAAGCACTAGGATCGTCAAGAGAAGACCACCATCACATGACAATTTGGGATACGACACTTACGGTGTCGATGATGGGTTGGAGTCGTACATGTTAGTCTTCACAAGAAGATCTGTTATAAACTTATGCTGCCGTAACAACAATTGCCCATGAACACGTTCCACTCCAAGCCCCAAAAAATATTATATCTCACCAAGATCTTTCAGTGAAAAATTCCCCCCCATACGAATAACAGCTTCAACAGCAACATTGAAATCTCTTGTTAAAACGACATCATCAGCATAGATCAACAAAAAAACTCTTCCTTCTCCTGTGCATCGAATAAAAAACAAAGAATTAGCAGTTGAACTTTTGAAGCTAAGATTAATTAACGGCTGTCGAAGCTGAACGTGCCACATCCTTAGAGCTTGGCGTAGCCTATACAAGGCGTTCTTAAGTTTACATACTAGAGGAGTACCATCACTAGCAACCTTTCAAACCCCGGTGGGTTGAACCATATAAACTTCTTCATTCAATATTCCGTGGAGAAAAACATTATTGACATCTACTTGCGTATGCACCACCATTAGTTACAGCCAACGAGAGCACAACATTAATGGTGGATGTTTGAACAACAGGACTGAAGGTATCTGAAAATTTGGACCAGACACTTATGAAAAGCCCCTGACAAATAGTCGAGGTTTGTAGCTAGACAACGTACCATCAACATTCTTTTTAATTTGGAAAAGCCACTTACATCCTACTGTAGAATGACCATCAGATAGGGGAACCAACTCCCATGTATTTTTCTGCATTAAAGATTCATATTCATCCCGCACTGCCTGCTTCCAACATGGATGTTGCATGGCCTGATGCACCAAATGTGGTTCACTTATACTCAAATGATCAACCATATTAGTTGTTGCTCCAAGAGCCTTTGGCTTGAAAATGCCCATTTTACTTCTAGTGAGCATAGGATGACGATTAAGAGAGGCACCCATGTTCGCACCATCATTTACAACTCGTTCATCCTCATGAATCCCTCATGAAGCATCACACGCATGCTCAGAGAAGCCAATCGAGCAACCCAGCGGACCATCCCTGTTTGAGACATCAGCACCATGGCTTGAGTGACCAGACTGAACTAAATGCTGCATCGATTGTTCATTAGGTTGCCCCACAATCAGAGATGCTGACCGAGACATTCCATCTGCACAGTGGATGCTATGGCGGGCACCCCATCCAGTCCTAATATGCGTGTTGCACCGGGAACAACTTGAAGAGATAGAGAAGAACGGACATTAGCAACTTCAGCACCCCCACTATCCTTAGTTTCTGCAAATGGAAACACACACTCATAAAAAATAACATTACGAGATATGTATAAACGACCATCGCCCCCCAAAATATTGTAACCATGATGTTGCATGCTATAGCCGAGAAACACACTACTGAGATCAAAATGCCAATTTATGAGGTTGAAAATGTCTTGTATGTGGGTAACACCTACACCCGAACACCTTCAAATGATCAACCGAAAGCGGTTTCCCATAAAGAACTTCAAATGGAGACACCCCTGCAAGAACTTTTGTAGGTAAACGGTTTTAAGGTTAACAACAGTTGTCTCGGTGAATGCCCAAAACCTCAATGGTGAAAAGCTCTAGCTAAGAGAACAATAGCCATCCCAAGGACATGCCGATGCTTGCGCTCCACTACACCATTTTGTTGAAAGGTGTGAGGACATGATACTCGATTTTGAATGCCTTCTTTGACAAGAAGAGGAGATAAATCCATCTCTCGACCTTGTAACAAAACAGCACTGGTCTCTTCATCATGAACCACGCATCGGCTAGCATAGAACTCTAGAAAAACTAGATTGTCTCTAGCAAGCTTCGACACCGAGATTAGATTTTTAGTGATATAAGGAACAAGTAACATATGATTTAAACTCAAAGCTCTAGAAGCAGTTACCAAAGATGCTTGACCAATTTGAGAAATAGGTAAACCTTTGCCATTACAACAATCAAATTACCGGCACCAGAGTAATCCTCCCCATCCACAATGTCCGTGGGGTCAGCTGTGATGTGGCGAGTGACCCCGAAATCTAAGAACCACTTGCCTTGATCATTTGAAACTGCTGAAGCGTACGTATTAGCAACACACCCAGCTGTCCCAACAAACTGAGCACATACACAATCGTGACTCACAAGATTAGCATTGAATCTGCTGGCATTTGGTGCCCGATCACCGCTCATAGAACTACCCTTGCTGGCAATAAATGACACTGCCGGAAACCATTTGTCACCAACAACAATCTACAAGGTGACCGTTCTTGTCGCACAGCCAGCATTGATACATCACACGTCCTCTGCCACGACCTCCTTGGTAGTTTTGTGACTGGCCACCCCTAGAATCAGAAGATGAACCGTCCCACGAAATTCGTCCTTCGCAACCACCTGAGCAACGTTAGCACAAAGACTTATGCGTTATGCCTTCAAATTGATCAAAACCCTTTTTGTTGGAGTTCAACATCAATAAGTATCGAAATAACTCCATCAAGCGTAACCGGCTCTTGAGTCATTGTAATCACGCAATAAATGGCTTGTACTCAGCAGGTAAACCGCCAAGAATTGTGGCAACCTTCTCGTGATCGGACACATGACTACCACAAGCAGCCAAGGCGTCATATATCTCTTTTACGTAAGAAATATACACACGTATAGTCATCTCCCCTTTCTTGACCGCCTTCAGTCGATAATACAAACTCATTATCGTAGTGGTAGACTTACCGGAGAAAAACTTGCTGATCACACTCCAAACTTAGCAGCTGACTCCGCTCCAACGAGCTGAGGAAACAACTGAGGACTAACAGTGGATAGTAACCACAATGCGAGGGCACTATCCTGAGCAACAAATATTTCATAATCTTCGTTTTCCACAACCTCGCCATTGTCACGAACTATAGTCTACGGCGGAGGGGCAACAGACTCATAGAGAAGCTTCTCCATCTAATGACTTCTTACGCTAAAAGAAGTTGTTTCCAGAGAAGATAATTAAACTCATCGAGGATTACGCTCGCCTTCTCATTTGTGAACTATTTGGAATGAGTCACGAAGGTTGTGTCAATCTCCATCAGACTATCGCCAGAAGAATCACGTATGATTTAAAAAATAGGATTTTGTTATTAAAATAAAAAAAATAATAGTTTAAATACTAAAAATATGTAGTTAAACAAATATATTATAATTTTTTTATTTTCATCAAGTAAAATAAAAATTTAATTAAAAAGTATATAAAATAATATTATTGTAATTATCTATATTTATGTAAATTATAATTATATTATTTTTTTCAAATCAGATTAAATTAAAGATTTTTCATCTTAAAATTAAATTAATCTAATATTATCTTTTAAAAAGTCTTCTCTAATCAATCACAATATAAATTTTATGAAATTAAATTTTTAAAAATCAGGTTAAATCAAAACAATCTGACCTAGGTTCATCCCCTCCCTAATCAATCACAATATCTTTTATGAATTCATTACTTGGTTTTTAATCGTTTTAGTGATTAAAAAATATTCTTTTTCTTAAATATATTAAATTTAAGGATAAATTATACATTTAGTACTTAAACTATTAATTTTGGTCGTTTTAGTACCTAAACTTTTAATTTTTTCAAAACTATGCTAATGTTTAGTTTTTATTTTATTTTAATACCCACCGTTAAAAAACTTAATGAATTTAGTACCTAAACTTTCAATTTTTTTAAATTTAGCATTAATTTTGAATATGATACTAAAATAAATAAAAACTAAAATTTAGATATTATTTTGAAAAAATTAAAAATTTAAATATTAAAATAACCAAAACTAATAGTTTAAATATTAAATGCGAATCTACCATAAATTTAAATATACTAAATTTAACTGACTGTTTAAAAAGATTTAATACACCTTTAAGTATAAATTATACTTTAAATTAATTTTTGATGTCTAAAGTTTTTCGTTAAAAATATATATCTAATGTTTTCTTTCTTATATTTTTAGGTATATACCTTTAAAAATGTTAAATGACACGTGTCACGTTAATTTTTTTTTAATTTTTTTAAAAAATAAAAAATATAAATAACACATGTCACTTAAAAGTTTTTGTTTTTTTAACGTATACATCTAAAACTATAATGAGAAAATATAGGTATTTATTTTTAACAAAAAAATATTTATGTATTAAAAGTCACTTTAGGTATAATTTAGATACTTAAAAGTGCATTAAGCCTTTAAAAAAGCTTAATACAAAAATAAATGCTTAAACTATATCTCGAAATACATTTGAAAATGAAGAAAAATATTTTTAACGAACAATTTTTTAAAAACCTAAATATATTTTAATTTAACATTATTTTTTATTTTTTATATTAAAATAAAGTATGTTTTACATTTTAGCTGTGAAGCACATCTGGCTTGCTTAACTTTAAAACAAACTGCAGAAAAATAAAACACAAGTTTGCTGAAAGTAAATTTCAAGTGCAAGAGAAGGAAGTAAACTTCAG